TGAACCCCCCGCTGCAGAGGTAGGGTGGTGACACGCGAAGTGTCTTGAGGCTGCTCATGAACGAGACCCGGCATTCGCGCACACGTATGGTTCGTGGCGGTGGGACTTGGATGCAGAGGACAAAACAGAAATCGTCGGTCTCCAACTGCAAAAGAGAGCAGACCAGCCTCTCTTCTGTCTCTAATAGCATACCATCCCGGGGTGCTGTTGTCTGCAGTGCCTTTATAAGCAAGTTTATTTTCACCTCTTACTTAAGTGAGTCCGTCTCTGTTGAACAATTGCCAAATCTGCTTAATATGCAGATTTATATAGGGCAGTCACTGATCCAGCCGGAGAGGGAAGGACTGCTCTGGCCTCTCCTGCGCGACTGTTAAGAACATACAGAGAGGCAGATGAGCGTACCATAAGCCAGGAGCAGTATTAAACTGATGTGAAAATGAGAAGTACTTTATAAGAACCATGCATTACTGCTCTGTGACTGGACTAGGCAATCGTCGTGTTACTCATCAATCACATGAAAAGCAGTGACAGCACCCACCAGCATATCCCCCCAACTCCCCGTCTCCTGGTTAAATGCAGCCAGCCCAGTGCTGCAAAGCCTACACCTGAGTAATGCAGCGGGCAAAATTCACCCAGCCTATGCAGAAAGTAGATAGCAAAAGTAGGACAATATAACAGTAGTGTTACAACAAAGCAATACTTCTAGAAGGTGATTATGAAACAACAGCATTCTGCATCTTCTACCATGCCAGCATTTAAACCTGGAAAGCTGCTGACCCAGCAGAATAATTCAGAGAACCAGCAAATGATCTCTCTAACAGGTGCCAATCAGTGAATCTGCCTCCTGCCGAGCTGAAACTGCTCCAACAGCCTCATTCAGTGGTCCACCGGTTTCTCTTAACAGCTGGAAGAGCTGCAGATGAGGAGGAAAGCAGTCTGATAACGCACTGTCTTTACTGGGGAAGTCGGCTGGTAACTCGAAACTCGGGTGGGAGATTTTAGAGGCAGTGGTGGGCAATGTTGCTGATACACAACCTGCAGTGCGTTTCCACCATCCAAAATGAAATGATGTGTTCTTTGTGCAGGAAAGGTGAGCTGTTAAGTTTGTGCTGTGGTTGCACTAGGCCATGTAGTCAAGATATATGCAGCCCAGTCTGCTATGTTAAAATGTACGGAGCAACTACAACAGGACCCTGTTCTGCTCTTGTTCCTCAACACAAAAACAGGGTGGATGTTTAAGGCCAAATGTTAGCCCACTGTGCTGAACGAGCAGCCAGAGGGAGAGAATGTGAATTTTTGTGTGTTTGCCCAGTGTTCCTACAAACTGAGGAGAGATGATGAAGATGGAAAGGGGTATAAGCCACGAAAAAGAAATATAGCAACAGGGGAGCTTTACCTAAAGCTATATATTAAACTGAGTGAGATTCTGCCATTGAAAACTGTTTTAACTGGACTCAAGGACTGTCCTGTGCCCTGTACAAAGCACCCCATGATATTTAAGAAGCCCTGATTGCAGCGGTCTCATAAAAATACATGAGGAACATAAAAAGAGGGAGACAGAAGAGGAAGTTTCTCATCTTCAAGTGTTACAAGGAAAAGTGAAGTCTGGAAATCAGAAAGGGAACAGAGAAGCAAGTGTGGAAAGAAAAGCTAACCATGTGTTATGCATAGCAAGTGCTACAGAAACAGATTGCTAACTGAGAAACTTGTGTTAACCAAGAAGTGGGATATAAATTGAGTGACAGACTTGATTAAACCGAGTACTGAGTGGGAGACTAAATTATGGGAGTAGAGTTTTCAAAAGGAATGTAGACAAAATGAAGCAGGAGGAGGGGTGGCAATATGGATAAGAGAGTATTGTGTCAACAGAAAGAAATATTGATGTTCTGGCTGACGCAGCAGTCTACTTACACCGAGAGTAAAACTGCAAACAGAGGTGAATCTTGAACAGTGCCTGGGCAGAATAATGTTGTAGGGATCAGAAAGTATCTGAACAGTAAGAAATGGTTTTGAGAGAGCCTGTGTGCTAGTAATGGGAGATTCTGAC